TGCTCAGAAAAAAGAGGGGAAGGTAGAAAAGTCAAGAATAACCTAAAACTATGAAATTGGTAATTTTGATAATTTTTTAAATATCAAAGGTCACTTGAACTAGAAAGAATTTTGATATTTTCGATTAGTTTAAATTGTCACTATCTCAGAAAAAAAAGGAAAAGGTAGAAAAGTCAAGAATAACCTAAAACTATGAAATTGATAATCGATTTATTACTATTTTTGGTAATGAAAAAAATACTTTTTTCAACTTTGGCAAAAACATGGGCAAAGTATGGGAGAAGGAAAAAACGATAGTTTCCTATTTTTGGAAAAAAAAAGTTAGGAATTTCAACTTTGGCAAAAACATGGGCAAAGTATGGGAGAAAGAAAAATCGATTTATTCCTATTTTTGGTAATAAAAAAATTACTATTTTCAACTTTGGCAAATACATGGGCAAAGTATGGGAGAAAAAAATCGATTTATTCCTATTTTTGGTAATGAAAAAAATACTATTTTCAACTTTAGCAAAACCATATGGGCAAAGTATGGGAGAAAAAAAATCGATTTTATCCTATTTTTGGTAATGAAAAAATTACTATTTTCAACGTTGGCAAAAACATGGGCAAAGTATGGGAGAAAGCAAAATCGATTTATTCCTATTTTTGGTAATGAAAAAATTACTATTTTCAACTTTGGCAAAAACATGGGCAAAGTATGGGAGAAAAAAATCGATTTATTCCTATTTTTGATAATGAAAAAATTACTATTTTCAAATTTAGCAAAAACATGGGCAAAGTATGGTAGAAAAAAAATCGATTTTTTTCCTGCTATACTTTGCCCATATTTTAACCAAAGTTGAATTTGCTAATTTTTTCATTACCACGCGGGTAGAAATTTGAATTTACTGTCTCTTTCACTCTAATTGATTTTCTCTCTTACACTGAGACAACGAAGTAGTCAAGGCAACTAATAAAATGGATAGAAATACCATTTTGGTTAGTAAACTATACTGCGGCTAATTCGATGGTTAGAGATACAATTTATTTTTGTAGAAAGTTAGGTTGTCGCAGTTAGCATTTTATTAGTGAGGGAAACTTATTTCTGTTATGCCAATAACTAATAAATATTGTAACAGACATCTTCTAGTTAGTTAACCTTACTAATAAAAAAGGAAATAATACAATAATTGAAATAGTTAAAAGTCAATTACGTATTAAATAATATTTGCATTTAGAAAAAATAGTTTTATTATAAGATAAATATATCCTACTTTTTAAAAAGTCGGATGTTAAACCACTTAAACCTGCACTAAGAGAAATTTTTGCATTAAATGGTATTGAAATATTTAATGCGCTTCGAATGCCCTCTGTCGTGAGTTTTTAGTATGAAAACATACTGAATTCGCTCAGAAATCATACTAAAAAAGCGTTATTCGTTTAGCTCCGAACCATCATTTTTCATGATCTTTGGACTGCGCAGAAGGTTCTCGGGAAAGAGTTTAGGTGACTTGATCTCAGAGAAAAAGGCGATATGAAAGAACGGGTTCTTTTCAAAAATTGCTCAAATCGGTGAAACTGCTTTGTTTGCTTTTCTCACACAATTATTGGACGCACCGCAAATATTGAAAAAAATAAACTTTCAATAAAAGTTAATAAATAAACTCGTTACTCGGGGGTTTCCGTGTTCGCTGATTAACGAATCCCATGTTAGTTTTTTAAAATTCAAAATGACGGATCTAATATGGCCGACGATAAAGTTAATAATTAATCTATTTCGCTTAAAGCTAGTTACTCGGGAGTTTTCGCGTTCGCTGATAACAAATCTGATGTTAGTTTTTCAAAATTCAAAATGGCGGATCCAATATTTTTTTAAAAGATTTTCTGGTCACTTTTTCGTACGAATTTCATGTGAAATGATAAAGAATTTTTATTTAACATTTGAAAAATTCCGTTAGGAATTGCGAATGGAATTCCGTAAGTAATATCAGCTAAAAATATTTTTGGATAAATTGTCGTCCACTTTTCGGTTCCAATTCCTCAAGTACTTCGTGCGTATTACTAGTGGATTTTTATTCAAATTTTTGCAAAAATTCCGCTTGGATTTGCAAATGGAAATCCGTACGTAATATCTGCTGAAAAATTTTTTTGAACAATTTCCGCTCTCTTTTCCGTACGAATTCTGCTAGAAATTTGTGTGCATTACCAATGAATTTAATTCAAAATTAAAAATTTGTAATAATACATACGAAGTACTAACGGAATTCATACGGAAAAGAGAGGGGAAATTGTTCTAAAAAAATTTTCAGTAGATGTTACATCCGTATTTCCATTCGCAATTCCAAAAGAAATTTTTAAATAATTTTGTATAAAAATCCGCTAGTAATAAACACGAATTACTAGCGGAATTCGTACCGAAAAGTGAGCGGAAATTTTATAAAAAAATTAGAGGTGTGCAAAAAGCTCGAAGCTCGATCGAGTATTTTCGAGCATTTCACTATTCATGCCGAGCTCAGGCCGAGTCGAGTTTCATAAAAAGCTGGGAATTAATCACAAAACCAAAGAATTCATTTCAACTTTCGTCTCCATGGACAAATTTATAGCGGATAATTGAAAAAAGGCTTTTAAATATCATTTTATTGGTCCAAAAAATTTAGTTTACATTAACAATTCTTGCAAATCTCAAAAGTGATTCGTCTTAAGAGATGAAATCGAGCAGAACATTCATCAAAAAGTAAAAGAACTCATTTCAACTTACGACTCCTGGGACACTTAGATTTATAGCGAAAAATTGATAAAAATGACATTTAAAAATCATTTTCTTGGTCCCAAAAATTTATTTTTTATTAAAAAATCTTGCAAATGTCAAAAGTGATTCGTCTTGAGCGATGAAATCGAGCAGGCAAAAAATCAGCAAGCAAAAGAACTCATTTTAAATTACGTCTCCTGGGAAACTTACATTTTAAGTGAAAAATTGAAAAAAAAAGACAAATAAAAATCATTTTTTTGGTCCCACAAATTTATTTTTCATTAAAAACTCTTGCAAATATCAAAAGTGATTCGTCTTGAGAGATAAAATCGAGCAGGCAAATAATCAGCAAGCCAAAGAACTCATTTCAACTGTCGTCTCCAGGTACACTTAGATTTATAGTGAAAAATTGATAAAAATAACATTTAAAAATCATTTTCTTGCTCCCAAAAATGTATTTTTTATTAAAAAATCTTGCAAATGTCAAAAGTGATTCGTCTTGAGCGATGAAATCGAGCAGGCAAAATATCAGCAAGCCAAAGAACTCATTTCAACTGTCGTCTCCAGGTACACTTAGATTTATAGTGAAAAATTGATAAAAATAACATTTAAAAATCATTTTCTTGGTCCCAAAAATATATTATTTATTAAAAACTCTTGCAAATATCAAAAGTGATTCGTCTTGAGAGATGTAATTGAGCAGGCAAATAATCAGCAAGCCAAAGAACTCATTTCAACTGTCGTCTCCAGGTACACTTAGATTTATAGTGAAAAATTGATAAAAATAACATTTAAAAATCATTTTCTTGGTCCCAAAAATTTATTTTTTATTAAAAAATCTTGCAAATGTCAAAAGTGATTCGTCTTGAGCGATGAAATCGAGCAGGCAAAATATCAGCAAGCCAAAGAACTCATTTCAACTGTCGTCTCCAGGTACACTTAGATTTATAGTGAAAAATTGATAAAAATAACATTTAAAAATCATTTTCTTGGTCCCAAAAATATATTATTTATTAAAAACTCTTGCAAATATCAAAAGTGATTCGTCTTGAGCGATGAAATCGAGCAGGCAAAATATCAGCAAGCCAAAGAACTCATTTGAACTTTCGTCTCCAGGGACACTTACATTTATAGTGAAAAATTGATAAAAATAACATTTAAAAATCATTTTCTTGGTCCCAAAAATTTATTTTTTATTAAAAAATCTTAAAAATGTCAAAAGTGATTCGTCTTGAGAGATGAAATCGAGCAGGCAAATAATCAGGAAGCCAAAGAACTTATTTTAAATTACGTCTCCTGGGAAACTTACATTTCAAGTGAAAAATTGAAAAAAAAGACAAATAAAAACATTTTTTTGGTCTCAAAAATTTATTATTTATTAAAAACTCTTGCAAATCTCAAAAGTGATTCGTCTTGAAAGATGAAATCGAGCAGGCAAATAATCAGCAAGCCAAAGAACTTATTTTAAATTACGTCTTGTGGGAAACTTACATTTTAAGTGAAAAATTGAAAAAAAAGACAAATAAAAATCATTTTTTTGGTCCCACAAATTTATTTTTCATTAAAAACTCTTGCAAATATCAAAAGTGATTCGTCTTGAGAGATGTAATTGAGCAGGCAAATAATCAGTAAGCCAAAGAACTCATTTGAACTTTCGTCTCCAGGGACACTTAGATTTATAGCGAAAAATTGATAAAAACAACATTTAAAAATCATTTTCTTGGTCCCAAAAATTTATTTTTTATTAAAAAATCTTAAAAATGTCAAAAGTGATTCGTCTTGAGAGATTAAATCGAGCAGCCAAATAATCAGCAAGCCAAAGAACTCATTTTAAATTACGTCTCCTGGGAAACTTACATTTTAAGTGAAAAATTGAAAAAAAGACAAATAAAAATCATTTTTTTGGTCTCAAAAATTTATTATTTATTAAAAACTCTTGCAAATCTCAAAAGTGACTCGACTTGAAAGATGATATCGAGCAAGCAAATAATTAGCAAGCTAAAGAACTTACTTCAACTAACGTCTCCTGGAACACTTACATTTATAGCGAAAAATTGAAAAAAAAAAACAAATAAAAATAATTTTTTTGGTCCCAAAAATTTATTTTTTATTAAAAAATCTTGCAAATGTCAAAAGTGATTCGTCTTGAAAGATGAAATCGAGCAGGCAAATAATCAGCAAGCCAAAGAACTTATTTTAAATTACGTCTCCTGGGAAACTTACATTTTAAGTGAAAAATTGAAAAAAAAGACAAATAAAAATCATTTTTTTGGTCCCACAAATTTATTTTTCATTAAAAACTCTTGCAAATATCAAAAGTGATTCGTCTTGAGAGATAAAATCGAGCAGGCAAATAATCAGCAAGCCAAAGAACTCATTTGAACTTTCGTCTCCAGGGGCACTTAGATTTATATGCGAAAAATTGATAAAAATGACATTTAAAAATCATTTTCTTGGTCCCAAAAATTTATTTTTTATTAAAAAATCTTGCAAATTTCAAAAGTGACTCGTCTTGAGAGTCCTACGTCAGAGTCACTAATGGCGAATTTATTGTTCTTTTCACTTTTGCGGCATGTTAATTTAAATTCCAATTCCATTTCGATTCTTCTCTGAAATTCCGTTCTTCAATGAAGTGCTCGAACCACCGCCAGATCAACTCAATTTCAGCTACACTCTGAGTCTGGTGCAAATCACCAGTTATATAACACATTCGGTTCCGTTTTGGTGCGGGGAAATGTTTCTCCCATCAATGATGGCATTCTCCTCTGTTTTAAAAAAATGCAATCAATAAGAAGAAATGCTTATGAAATTTGAAAATCTGACAGGATGAAGGTAAGATCCGATGAGAGAAATTAAAAATTTAAACACTTAAGAAAAAATTATGAAAAGCTTACTTTGCAGAAGAGACAATTCGCCATCATTTCGTTCCAATTGTTCTAGGGTACGTGCTTCGCCCAGGATTGAAAACCAAGGACAACGCATTTTTCGCATTTGACAACCTCGCGTGCCACGAATAGGTAGTGCTTCATTTTTGGAAAATTGTTGATGCAATGATGAAAATTGTCCCTACATTGTTTTCTTTATACAATTTTCCTATGATCAATTAATTCGGCCGCTTCATGAAACTTTTATACTGATGCTGAAATTTTTTTTGTTATTTAAATAAAAATAAGAAAAGAATATTTTAATAGAATAAAAACAAATTCCAGCGTTCTACAATTTATTATTAAAAAATTATTATTTACAGATTAAATTTTACTACTTTTGAGGAAAAATTTTCGAATTTTTATTAAAGAAATTTTTTTCAAAAATAGTGAAAGCTAATTTAAAAATAGCAATTTCTAATAGAGCAATTTAATTATTAATTTAATTTCATTCTAATAGTAATTTTTATTTTTTTATCAAAACAGATTTAATTTAATTTTCCGTATATCAAAAAAATTTCTCAATGAAAAAGAGAAACATTATTGATTAGTGTAAAACACGAGAAATTGATTCTTATTTTTAAAAAAAGATAAAAATATTCAATGCAGAAAAAGTTATAAAAATTTATTTAATAAAAATTTTCATTCTATTATTTTTAAAGGTTATGAATTGAAAAAAAAATTTCCTAGTTTATATTTATATTTTTTTAATAACTAATTATTTAATTTGTTTCCATATTTAAATTATTTATTGAATCAATGAATTAAAAGAAGCTTTATGTAAAATTCTTTTTTTTTTAACATAACCACTTTTTAGATTTGTTTTCTTATTACAAAACATTTTTTTTACTTACCAATATAAAAATATTTGTCACCTCACTTTAATCACTAACTTTTTTTCACCATTCATTACCATTTTTTAAAAATTTTAATGTATTTTTAACTTTAATGTAATGGTAAACATTAAACTGTTTAATGTTTACAACGATGACCAACGATGACATCAAAACACACGTCAATTTTTTAGGCATGGGATATAGAAACTCAAGTTTGACAATAAATTATCATTTTTCTGCAGCAACTTCAGGGGGAAGGCATTCGTACGTTCTACTGTACACTGCGCAACTTAAAATATATATATTTTGGTTTTTACAAGATGGCCGTATATGCGTCATGTGCTGATAAAAAGCATTTTTTAATGTAACATGTGCGACACGTTAATTTCGTATCGTGTCGGTATCGTATCGTGTCGCGACACGATACTTTTCTCGACACGATGCATCGTGTCGGGCGTCGACACGATACCGACACGATACTCATTTTCGTGTCACATCGTGTCGGTGGCGGTCCCTGATAAAAGATACTTGAAATTTTGAGGAGAATTTAAAAAAAATTTTTAACAGAATTGAATTTCTGCGAACAATTTTATTACTTTTGAAAATAATTGAATTGTTTTTTAGAATTTTATAAAAATAATTAAAGGGGGAGTAAGGTCTATAAACGATGAAAAAAGCATGTTTTTAAGAATTTTTTTTGGCGATACGCAGAAAGTTAATTTATTTTATCGCTTTGCATATAATATTTGAACAATATTTCTCCAAATTTTAATTTAAAAATATTAAGAATTGAGCGAGATGAGATTTTTCTCAGGCGCCTCAAAAAAAATTGATTTGCGGTGTACACTCTAACTCACAATAGAATCATATAAAACAAAAAAATCAAAGTGCATTTGTTAAAGGAGATGTTTTTGAGGTAACGCTGGAAGGAATTTTTTTGATATTTTTTGCAGCACTTGAAAGCCAAAAAATCGATTTTTGCTATAATAAAATCGATTAATTTGTTATTGTAAAATTGGTAATTTAAAAAAAAGCTCCCAGCGTTACCTCAAAAAACCTCTCCTTTAACAAATGCACTATGATTTTTTTTATTTGGATGATTCTGTTGCGAGTTAGAGCGTACACCGCAAATCAATTTTTTTTTTTGGAGTAGGAAAATCTGATTGGGGTACAAAAGTTCCAAAACGGAAGTTCCAATCGAAAAATTCTAGGAAAAAAGTTCCAAAATGAAAAGATCCAAAATTTATTTTTCCACAGTACAAAAGTTCCAAAGCCCAAAATGTTCAAAATATAAATTTACTAAAGTGTGAACTTTCAAAAAAAAAAAATTTCCAAAATAAAAAGTGTTGTATTGTTAAATAAGTGAAAAGTATTGGAGTTGTTCGAAAAAATAAGGCATCTCTAATATTTCACATTATTTTTTCATCTGAATGCTTGTAATACAAAAATCCTTTGTGCAACACCTGTAAGGAAAGTCATACTTTGCATGCCTGTAAAGTAGGCGCAAAACAGTACTTTGCTGCACTAGTGCGGCAAAGTGCTTATTTTGCTGCACTCGTGCAGCAATAAATGTTATACGTTAAATATGTGAGCGCCTCTGGGCTTCTCACTGCTACCTGACTGATATTATCCCTTTCGACCGCGCGCACTTGCTGTTATTGTACGCGCGGGCTCAATTATTTTCAGTTGAATATCACAAAATTTCTAATTATTCGAAATTTTTTTTTAAATTTATTTTCTTACCTACTAAATTTCAATCAGTCACTGATTTTTTACTATAAAATGAATTATTTTTAACTAATTCAAATTTAGAGAACAGTATTAAATATCTATAGAAATTGAAATAAAAAGCGATTCTTTAAAAACAAAGTAAAATAATAAAACTGTTTTTAATTTGGTGATAAAATTCCCGGTTTTGGCATAAAATTTCTGGCTTATTCCCGGATTTCCCGGTTAGTAGACACCCTGAATTTTAATTATTTTTAGTTAAATTTTACAGAATTTCAACTATTCAAAAAGATTTTTATTTAAAAAATTTAATTATGTTGAAAAATGATTCAAAAACAATTTTTGAAAGATTTGCAATGTTTAGAAGAAAAGTTGAAAAAGTCGCAATTTTTGAAAATAATTCGAAAAGTCTCATTTTTCTTAATTTCTCTGACAAAAATTTTTGTTCCTGACATTTCCCTAACTTTACTGACATGTGGCCACCCTGAAATTAAACTCATCCTTAAAACCTTTGTAAAGTATATAGTACAATTTCTAAATTCCTATTACATCATAAAGAAAACAACAATAATAATAAAATATAAATGGGAACTAAATTTGAAGACAATTGAAGGATAATTTGATCAAGAAACCGAAAAAGCGTCGTTTTTTTGGAGGGAAGATCGAAATTACATATTATACAAAAGGGATCGAGAAAGAGACAGAGAGAAAGAAAGAGAGAAACTGGATGATATCTTATAACGTAAGGAAGCTCTCGACAGAAAATTTTACCGGCTAATTTACGGCTTTCTCACTTATAGTTCCATTTTATACGGTTGAAATTCTCCGGTAGATGGGCGAGGATACCGAGGGAGGAAATTCGTAATATAGAGGGCCGCTCTACGACCCCACTGGGAGGAATTCCGGGGTACGTTTTAAATTGCTGCATCCCCAACCTCCTTGTTTATGTATGCTTCGTGTTTCTTATTCTTGTGCGGCAACCAGCGGCAACCGAGGAGAGAGGCGGGCACCCCCTAACTTTATGTGCACAACGTTGGCATAAGTATGCATTCTGTGTGTGTGGGTGCCGCACGAGAGTTAAACTTCCCTGGTATAAGTTGTACGAGGTAGGCGTGTTCCGTGTTTCGGAAGGGAAAACCATATATGTACATGTGTATTGTATGGACTATGGAGAAACGTGGTCCTACGTTTTCTTCTCGTGCTACCATTTTACCCTCTCCCATCAAGGAACAACCTTCCCGAGATCTACACACGTTTTCCTTCTCTTCACTCGCTACCTATACAATATATACATATACATATAGTTACTACAACTTCCAACCTGGAAAAAAAACTCATCTCTCGACTCCTTGAATTCGATTTTCCTATCGAGAAAATCTAACGTCCAACTTCGAATACTCGTGTTCATGTATACAAGTTTATCTCTGTATGGGTGAAATTCACCATTGAAAATTAGGGCACTGACCTGCTGTATAGGGTTTTGTAATCCGATTAACGTTTCGATTCCTTGGCAGTGATTCGACCAATTCAATTTCGACCTTCTTGATAATTTTTCTCCAAGACGAAGGAACGAAAATTGCACCCTGAAAAAGGGAAAAATTATCAGAAAAATGTATTAATGCCAAATACTAAAATAATGAGAAATTTAATGTGCAATTCGAAAAGAATTTCAATTACAAACGAATTCAAATATTTTCTAAAATTTTAATAAATCCTTCTAAACAATTCAATTATTTTCAATAAAATTTCGCGAAAGAATTTAATTTTTTTCTTAATTCGTTATAAAATATTTCAAAAGAATTCAAATATATTCAAATATTTCCATAAAATTCAATTATTTCCTAAAATTTTAATAACTTCTTCAAAACAAATCAACTAATTTTATAAATACTAAAATTCTTTGCAGGAATTAAATTATTTTTAGTCCTATGTCATTAAAATTACACTAAAGAATTTAATTAAAATTTCCAAAAATTTCAACAAAATTCAAATTTAACAAGAATTTAAAATTCTCTAAAAATAATTCAATTATTCTCAAAATATTACAACAAATTCTGAATGAAAATTAAATTACTTTCAAGGCAATTTTGAAATATATTCGTCAAAAAAATTGAAAGAATTCAATTATTTTTAAAAAATAAAAAAAATTCTTCCAAATGAATTCAATTATTGTGAATACACATAAATTCAATTATTTTCGAAGAAACTGTTATTGAATTTCTCGAAAGAATTTAATTATTTTCAAATATTTCTATAAAATTCTTCAAAACAATTCAATTATATCCTAAAACTTTAATAAATTCTTCGAATCATTTCAATTATTGTTATAAATAGTAAAATTCTTCGCAATAATTCAATTATTTTCATAAATAATAAAATTTTTTGCAGAAATTTAATATTTTTCAAGACAATTTTAATAGAATTCCTCGAAAGAATTTAATTATTTTCAAATTTACATAAAATTCATTCATTTCCTAAAATTTTAATAAATTTTTCGGAACAATTCAATTATTTTTATAAATAGAAAAATTCTTCGCAAGATTTAAATTATTTTTTTTCAATAATAAAATTCTTCTCAGGAATTCAATTATTTCAATATAATTTTAATAAAATTCTTCTTCATAAAATTCAATTGCTTTTGAAATTTCCAATTAAAATTATTAAACTTTGCAAGAATTTAATGATTTTCAATACATTCATCAAACTACGACCAGATTAATGGAAACGTGCACATAAAACGAAAAAGATGCATTTTCCAAAAAAAATGGTTAAAACAAAAATTGACCAGGAAAAAATATCTAAATTGTAAAAATGGTGTATATTGTAGACCTTTTTGTTCTCAGCGTTGCCACAAAAATTTTTATTTTTCCCCTGATTTCTAAACAATATTCTAATTTTTTCCCTGACTATAAAGAATGTTCTAATTCACTCTAAAAATGATTAGATAATGAAAAAAATGTTCTATAACATTTATTTACTAATTTCTTTAATTGTATAATTATTCAAATACATCAATTACTTCATTTTTAAATAAATTTTTAATAATTATTATTTTTCCATAGGAATTATTAATTATTTCTAAGAATCTTTAATTCCTCAAAAAATCCTTAATGTTTTATTCTGAGTCTTCAACTCGAAGTGGTGGATTTCTTCATATATTTTATAATATTTAATAAAGATGACCGAGTGATAAACTCATTACATTATATTATAAGAATATTGTTACTGTAATTTTTTCAAAGTTATTTTCATTATTTCAATTCAATTATTATTTTCTAGAATTTTTATAACTAAAATTTTTTTTTAAATCAATTATTTTTAATAATTTGTAAAAAAGTTCTTCTTCGAGAATATTTAAATCAATTTATTTACAATTCAATTTTACAGAAATTTCGATTATTTAAAATTAACTTTAAATCAATTTTTATTAAAAAATTCTATGAGAATTCAATTATTTAAATACCAAAATAAATACTTATTGAATAATTGAATTCTTTCAAAGAATTAATTCGATTAAAATTGTATTAAATGGGAATTGAAATTCTACGATTAGTCTTCTTATTTATGAAAA